GTTCAGATTGGTCTTGAACTTCCGAGCTCACGTGATCCACCTTCCTTGACCTCCCAGAGTGCTAGGATTGTAGGCAATGAGCCACTGCACGGCCTATTTTTAATTCTTAAATATCTCACCCCAAATGAGAATGTCCACTTCTACTCCATATTGCATAAACACATTTATTCATTATGACCTGAATAAAAAGTTATTTTTCATATCCCTTGCCTCAAAGCATGTTGTTTAACATGGTTTGTTTTTTCTAAATGTCAATAAACTCATATTTATATGATTGAAGATAAATATACACTTAAAGAATTGTCCCAGAAAAGTGTCACATGTGACCTCTGGTACTAAACCACACAGGAGCTACAGTAAAATAAATAAGAGAGTTGGACCACATAAATAAGTTGCAGATATAGCTAAGTCTCCTACCTCCCATGAAAAGCTACGAGTTGGACCCGTACGTCTACCTAGATTCTAGCAGAGCCTCCTTCCTGTGAGCAGAGGACAGGTTCCTAGAACAAAGAACATTTCTTCTGGAATTTATCACATCTGATTTCCACATTACATCTTTTCCCTTTCACACTGCTATACTCCAACCAATCCAAGGAAACCAATGTCCCCACCTTCAAGTTACCCTTCCTGATGATCAGCTTTTAAATGACTCTCCTTGAAGGGTGTGCAATTGTTTTCCTAATTGCATAAAAACAATATTTATTTCTATTACGTTCTCTAGAAAATGAATGCTTCCCCTTGAGATAACTGGGGGCTCTGAGATTCAGATCTGTCCACCTGATGCAGATGTAGAGGGGAGGGAAGGAGGGAGATAGAGGACCAGCTCTTAGTGCATGCTGCTCCCTGAGGGCCTTCCTACCACAGTAGGGCCCCACAGCAGCCAGGCCGTACATCCATCCTCTCTCAGCCTGTACCTCCTCTAACAACACTGTTGCCTCACTCTCACCCCAGCTCCTACCCCAGGGCCTCAGTCCTGGTGTTTCACAGCATTACAGACGGAAATCCAGTTCCAGGCAACAAAAGGCACCAGGTTTCTCCCAAGTACCTGTAGGTCTTATCCCTTGAAGTGATTCTGAGAAACAGACTACCCCCACTGCAAGTGTTTACTCCAGCTGATATTTCCTTGGTCTGTTTCCAAGAGGAAGACAGCCTGATACTACAGCTGGGTGTTAGAAACCACAATTCTATTCCACAAGAAGGCTTAAAGGGGTATGAAATCCCCAAGTGACTGTAGAAAGTCACTGCATTGAAGGGCTTCAGTGGGTAAGGAAGTGGCAAAGGACTGTGTCTCTTCTTTCTGAGCCAAAAGCATATCCACCAGAAATATATTGTTTTCCCTCAGATTTGCAACAGCATAAAGTTTATCCCAAGGGTCAAAAACAGGAGAAATAATTTTTTCTTATTTAGGTTCTGGAGTTAATTTTTGTTAATTTGAAGGCTTAGGGATATGCCACTGAAATTTTGTTTTTTTGCAAAAAAAGAGGCACATTTGTGGTGGCTTATTCACTATATGATAATAGACTTTTTCTGGTTATGTTGATTGACAAATACTTATGAAAAATAAATCAAATAGTTTTTTAAATAAAAAAGTCTTTTTCCTAATTAATTCTAATGTCTATGGCTGTACCACCGTGATGTGCCCAATCTCGTCCTAATTAATTCTAAGATACTGAAAAACAGCATCAGGGAACATAACTTAATTTACGTATAAATGCAGTTTCTGTGACCAATAGTCAAAAGAGCACGGTTCTAGCACACATTACAAACACACCCAATGGCCTTAAGCTCAGCACTGAATCTGCTCCCCTAGTCTGGATTGGAAGGGAAGATACCTGAGATCCCTTTTAGCTCTAACATTCTGTGATTGAATCCCCAGAGAGGTACTGGCTTGCAGAATAGTGTTGATACCTAAAACAGCCTCTTGTTTTTGACCACAGAGAGAAAGTCTCTTCACACTTGAATCTCTCTTTCCATTTCTCCTCTCATTTGAAAATGAGATGTCTACTAAAAAATTCAAAAGAGAAGTCCAATACCAGTAGCCAATTCTCTAAATTGGCTTCCAGTACTAGCATTCTACCATAGCAAGGTGTACCCCAACAGACCCTGGAGCAAGCGATACCCAGTATCAGTTTCCTCAGGATTCTAGCCAAGCAGGCTTACAGAACCGGAACTTATAGTTCGTTCCTTGGATTTGGAGTAAAGGGTTAGAGGACTCCATGTATTAAGTAGGACTGAGCTAATGGGCTGCCCTGGTGTTCTCTGCCCACTAAGTGAACCAGCTCCACCATTTACTAGTTGGCTGACAATGAGTAAATACATTTCTCCCTGGCTTGATTCCCCCACCTATAACATGGGAAAAGTAACTTTCCCTGTCTTTCAGGGTTGTGCTGGTTGAAACTGACAAAAGCACATAAAATAGCTATGATGGTCCTGGTACACAGGAATTAAGAACGCAGTATATGCTAGCCAGCACTAATTATTATTGTTACTACTTGTCTCCCCAGCATAGCTCAGCAACCTGAGAAAACTACCTGGGTGTGAATTTGTAGTCTTCTCTTAAGTTCCCAAGGGACATGTTCCATCCTGTTTCTACATGCAAAAGGAAGTAACCAGAGCACAACGCTAGATAGAAACATCCAGAAATAAATGGGCCCTGGGATGGTCACACGGTAAAGGCTATGGAGTGTGGGGATTAAGGCTGAGATCCTACCTCAGGAATCCAGGTAGTTTAGAAGAAGCAAGAGCTATCACCAAGAAGGCCTGGCCTATGAAGGGGTGGCCTTGTGCTCAGGAGCTGCACCAGGAGCTGTGCTGAGGGAATCCCCGGTCTGCTCCTTGGGGCTCTGGAGTTTGCCACAGAGGCAGAGAGAGGCAGGGCGCTCCCTGCTCCAGAGGATCCCCAGAATGGCAATGACTGACCTCGAGATTCCCATCTGGCAGCCCTGGAGATTCTACCATTCCTCAAATGTGGCCAAGTTAAGGGGCCCCAAACCAGGGAACTTCCCTGAATTATGATTGCTTCTAACTTAACCCTTTTCTCCCAGCTGCTACAGGAAAGCAGGAGCTGTCCACATGGCACCCACAGAAAAGGTTGTTCTGCCCCCCAAAGCCTACACATGGGAGGACTGAACAGGGAGCCCTGAAAGGTTGTCTGGGGCTCCTCTCCCAAGCAAGCTCCAAATGCTTTATTGGGCTAGTAGAGACTCTCAGCCAAAGGCACCACTTGGAAAGGTGTGAATCTTCTTGGGGAGGGAAGGGGTGGTCAGGCGTTTCCGGGCCTTCACAGGCCACCTGGAAAAGGGGGGCTTGGAGCTTAAAGGGGAGGAAGGTGCTTCTTCTCAACAGCAGACTAGGCTCCCTCCCACAAATGGTCTTGCCCTCCAGATTGCTGGGATATAAAGGAGAAAGAGCCTCACCTTCCCGCATCTGCCAAAGCATCTGGAACAACCAGAGGGTCTACCTGGGGACTGCAAGGTGGACAGACCCACCTCTGCCCGGGATCCTGGGTCTGGAAGCTGGGTCTTCCCTCACCCGATGCCCACACCCTCTGGCTTCTCATTTCCTTCTCTCCCTCCAGCTCTGCGCTCTGAGCCTCCCAGAGCAGCACAGGACTCCCCCACTCCCTTGCTCCGCCTAGGAGCGATTTGTGGAGGGGCGGGGTAAAGTGGCTCCCACTGCAGCCTCCCCCTCTGCAACCTCCTGCAACTGGTTCAGACCCCTGCCTACCTGCTGGGTGCTAGGGACTCCCCCCCTACCAAGCACACTCGTCTCCTTCTGGGGATCAGGAGTCCCCTTTCCACACTGCGGCTGTGGAGACATCCTTGACTCCCGAGCGCCTGGCAGGGAAGGTGGGCGTGGGTCTACCGACCTGGCAGAGGAGGTGAGAGGTTGTAGAAGCAAGCGGGCGCCAGAGGAGAGAGGGAATTGTGGTCCTCTTAGAGCTGAGAGAAGCTTCCCTGGTCCATGATCTGACCGTCAGTCACCGCCCAAGATGCCAACGCATTCAGATTCCCCCGGAGAGGTTTGTTTGCTTCTGGGGAGGGAGATCGCACCGTCCCAGGCACCTAGACGCTTGCTTTCCTAAGTCCTCAAGGCCCCCACATTCCAGGGCTCTATTCGGAGTCTCCATCTCTGCGCCTACCCAGGTATCCAGCCCCTCCCCCATCTATATTTACACACTCGGGCCAGCGCTTTCCAGACTAAAATCCCTTTTCTCTTCCTCATACGGCCTCTCAGGGTTGGCCCCTTGCCCACCTTAGCACAACCTTTCCGTCTCCCCTAACCATGGGCAGACCTACTCCCGACCCTCAGTTCCCTCCGCCGCCCCCACCAGTAACCTTTCCCTCCCTGAACCACTTACTTCACCCACCCGTATCTGCACTTGCAGTTCCCCACCGCGCACAGCCGCAAGCCACTCCAAGGGTTTCATTACCGAGTTGGGGGTGGCGTGCGCAAGGGTGGACAGACTCTCACTGCGCTGGACAAAACCCCAGGAGTGCCTGTAGCCTTTCCCCACATCCCACTTCTCCTATTTCACCTTCTCTATTCCTACCCAGCTTCTATAGGTAGGATGAGCTCCGCTGAGTCCCCAGCCCTCGCCTCTGGAGCGGGAGCTGCGGGGAGTGAAAAGTCGACTGGCAAGAATACACGGAGAGAAATGGGCAGATGCAACTGCAAGGGGCGCTGGGGGAAGGGCGCACGCAAAAACTAAACGTGCAACTTGTACGGGCACTGGGTGAGCATCGTGCAGGAAAAGGGTCACAAAAGTTTGCAGAGTATTTTCATAGCAGTCGGCTGAACCGGAGCAAAGAGCATCGACTCTGTCTCACTAGGTGGGGTCTCTCCAAGGGTCTGCGCAAAGAGGACTGGGGGCTTAGACAGATGTGGCTCAGAACTGGGGTAATAGTTCTCTTCTACTTGTTCCCGGAGGGATGGCCTAGGCATCTGGGCAGAGGAACGATCCCGCGCTCTGCGAAAAGCAACAGGCGGCTGCACCTTACCTTGCGCCAGTCCGGGACCGGGGTGGCTGCTCCATCCTCGTGGCGCAGGGAGGAGGCGTTGGGTTTGTATGCCTAGGGGTGTGCGCGCTGCCAGAGCTGCAGAGGCCGCCACCTCCAACCCTCTGCAAGCCGGGCGGTCCACCTGGGACCTGTCGGGCCAGGCGTTCTCTGCTCCCCAGCCACAGCGGCGACGGCGTCGGTGCGCCGCGGCTGGGTCGCGGGACGCAGGCGGTGCGTGGCGCGGCTGGCGTCTTCGGGCGCCGCCACCGAGCTAGGGTGCGGCCACCGGCGGCCGTGCGGGGCACGACTTGGCTGGCGTTGCTGCGGCGGCTGCTGCAGACCCTGCTCCAGGCGCAGAAGCCTGGCAGGAGGAGGAGACAAAGACCCGAGGAAGGAAAAGAGCCGCTCGCCCAGATGCAATGGCTCAGTCCCTAGAGGGGAATCGCCTCCAAATCCTGGCTGGGGATGCGGGAGGAGGGGTAGGCGGCTGGGGACTAGACAAGCAGCAGGGAATTAACGTGACAGAGCCTGCCACCGCCTCACTGGCGCTGCTCTCTCTCCTCCAGGTTGGGGGGTCCGGAATGCGGAGAGGGGGCGGGGGCCTAGCGTTTGCCGCGGGAGGAGACGAGCTGAGGTAGGAGCCTTAGCTCCCTCCTCTGCTCTCGCCTTCCTTCCTCACACCCCCAGCACAGCTCCGTTTGCGGGAAGCTATGGCCCCATTCTTTCTCCTGTTTTGCTAACTACTGAGATCCGAGCTGAATCAAGCTGGTGGAAAAAGCAAAACCAAGGGTTGATTGCCCTGGATAGGGAAAAGCGGATGCTCACAATTAACCCGACAAATGATTGACCACTGGTGCCAAGTACTGTCCCAGCCTATTGCGAGGGAGGATGAATAAGGTGAGACGTTCTGCGCTCCCCTCACCAGCTCGCCACCGGAATCCACTGATCTCAGAATGATTTTCCCTACATTTTTGAAGCCCAAAGTTTTGAAGTTGAGTTGTGGCCCCTGATCTCGACCCTCCATCAGTCCAGCTTCTCAAGACGGAAAGTGGTAGAATTCAATTTTCTCTTCTCCTTACAGAGATTGCTTGAATGTGCAGCTAAAAAGGGCCTTTTTAAAAAAATCGAGGGTGTGCGAGTATGTCTCTCTGTGTGTATTTTAAGATTAAGGCAAATTATTGGTTTTATTGATGTTCCTATATTATGATGTTACTCATTTATCAGATCTACACCAGAAACCAATATGGAACAGAGGAACGTAGCGTCTGCAAAATACCATCTTCTTTCTAAAGCCCTTTTCCCCTCCAGGCAGATCAATCTTTCCCTTCTACTCTTTGCTTGCAGAACTAACATATTTATAAATTCCCATCTCTTCACTCACCTATGAATATTCTCTCTGTTTTTTGTTTGTTCCCACTCCCACATCCAGCAATGTTTTGTAGCTGATGGTACAGTACTCTGACCAGTTGAAGGTCATTTTCTCCTTTGAGATGAGCTAAATCCCTGTGTCCCTAAGACGAAAGAGGATGTGGGATGAAACTATTAAGAGTTTTGGATGAAGGGCCTCAACTGCAACTTGGACTTTACCCAATGAAGGCAAATAATGTAACCTAATCGTATGGACCCTTAAATCTGAAATTTAAAAAAGGGGGCGGGGGTTGGGAAGGCACCTATAGTTACACTCACAGCCCCTTTGGTGGAAAGGTAATAAAGGTATTTAATTCATTTTGTTTCTAGACAATGTTCTCCCACCTATGCTTGCTGAATTCTCAAAGATGAAAGAAAACCAAGTTGTTGAGCAACTGCATAAAGCAAGAGATGTGTATTCAGCTGCCAGCACCTGGAGCAAACCCATTCCAGGTGGAGAATGACCAGAAAATCTTTATCATTTCATGACCTGTGTCAAGTATGTTGAAAGCCTGCCAAAAATTTCCTCCTTTCCAGTGAGGCTTTCTTCTTCTGGATGCATTTTAAAACAGGTTAAACAGTGTTTCAATGCCGGGAAATGAAGAAATTTTCTTTGCAGTTTAAAGAGATTTTAAATCCCTCTTTGTTTCCTGTCCTACCTCTCTACAAATTACAGAATAGATACCCTAGATCAGTTATGCTCTATGAAAAAGTTCCATAATATACATTCAGTTTTATGCTCTTGAGCTTTAAAAGATGGTGGTTTGAAGGGTTTTTAAAAATTGTTTTGTTCTGTTCGTTGTGCTTTTAAAGATATCTTAGGACCCAGAAATAAGTACGTTTGGAAAGCAGGTATGAAATTTGATATAATTTTTCTGAAAGGAAACTTGGCATTACTATTGAAAACATAGAATTTTTACTTGCCATTCTCCCACTGATTCTAACTCTACAAATTCTTCCTTTCTCTACAAGGATATTCGGCATAGTGTTGTTTATAGGAGCAGAAAATTAAAAGGAAACAAAAGTAAATACACTTGTTTAACAAGAGAGGAATAGTGAAATATATTGTAAGGGTATACAATGGAATAACTTGTAAGAGAACAGATAAATGTTATAATTAATTATGGCTAAATTTTAATTGAAAATTTCAGAAACACAAGGTGATCCATAAAAGAGTAACAATTACAAACAGAGTTAACAAATCAAAAATAAAAACCAGTGGAATTTGTTTTTAACTTAATTGTCTTTTAATGAAAATGCCAAAGGTTTCAACAATGGGAAACCTCTAGGCTTCGATGCTTTCTGCCTTGGTTGTTTCATCAAAAAGTCATCAACATGACTTGCTCGCTATTGGTGTCACCCGTGCTATAAAAAGGATAAATGACAGGGTATGGAGTTTGTCACCTCTGATACAAACTTAGATTTGTTTTGTAGCAACCAGGAGTCAAGTCCAGCTCAGCAAAATATGCTGTTTAATATGAGGAGCTGATTGGTTGCTACCCTTGCCTTGCCTTGACAGCAAATGCAAAAAGAAAAAACAAGAGAGAGAGAGAGAGGAAAGAGAGAGATCATTAGAAGCTATATTTGTAACTTTCAATTAGTGAACTAAAGAAAGAAGCCCAGTGTTGAAGAGCCATGACCTTTACTTCCAAAGCAGTGGCTCCTCTGGGTCATAAATGGAACTTTCATAAAAGTTGTCAGTATACATTACACATGTTATGAAAAGATAGAAGGGACTATGATTGACTGGCATTTTCAGTTTAACATTCGTTAGAAATAGGGATATGTTATTTTAAAATCAATCCTTTCCAAGAAACTTTTGCATGTAGAGGAAATTCCTGGACTTTCGAATTGCATTCTCAAAATAAATAAATAATAAATAAATAAATTGCATTCTTTTTTTAAAAACTCTTTACAGAAACGGAAATACCTCTGAGCCCAGGAATTGAGTTTCAGAAATTTGAAACTTATTTGGAAGGCTCATCTCTGCCTCACTCAGCATTAGCTTGGGGCTCCTTGACTCATAAGGGGAGGACCCATTTCCCAAACGGCTTACTCATACGCCTAACAGGCTGTGCTGACTGGTCATGGAACATTTAACAGGAGCTGAGAACCCAGGACCTCCGTTTCTCTCAACCTGGGACTCTCCACGTGCATCTTTCCATCTTTCCACAACCAACCCAAGAAGCATTCAGCTTTTCCCAGGCAATGAGAAGTTTAGCCTTGTCAGTTATACACATTTAGCCAGTCTTAATATCATATTACAAATTTTAATCCCAAACTTGCCAGGCAATGTGAACCAGGCAATGGATGACTTAGGCAAATGGAATAGTTTTTCTTCTCTTTATAGAGATAATTTCATCAACAATTAGAGGACTAATCAATTACATAAATTCATATAATTTTTATATATTTTTAAAATTCTAATGATGACTTTATCAGTGAAGACCAGTTTCCTTTTCATGGTTTTAAAAGGGCTCTGTAGTTTAACTCTCCCTAGTCCTGTCTTATCATTTCCTTTAGCTTCTCCTGTTTATCTATCTTATCAGGGCCTTGTTTTGACATGTAGCAGGGCTAGCTCTTGAGTGTCTGCCTGCCCTACTAGACTCTAAGTTCCTTGAGAGCTGACTCTTTCCCAGTTTATGGCCCCACAACCCCCAGGCCAGAACAGGGGTGAAGTATGTGCTTGGTGCATAGTTATCAAAAAGATGAATAATTCAACACCTCTTGCCTTTTTTTTTAGAGAGACAGAGTTTCACTTTATCACCCTCGGTAGAGTGCCGTGGCATCACACAGCTCACAGCAACCTCCAACTCCTGGGCTTAGTCAATTCTCTTGCCTCAGCCTCCCGAGTAGCTGGGACTACAGACGCCCCACCAGAATGCCCGGCTCCTCTTGCCTTTTTAAATCAATCATTCCTTCTCCATAATGGCAATACTGCTCCTGTGAGCTACTCCACAGGGGAGCTAATTAGTTCTCTGAAACTGGAAAATGTTTTGAAGTTTCACAATACTTTAGAAGCTCTCAACAACATTAATATGTGCAATAAAGACATTATTATTACTTCTATGACACATAAATGGTGAATAATCCCTTTTCAATGTGTTTGTTTGGATATACTCAACAAATTTGCAGAAAGTAATGTATTGTTGGCTCATTTCTACTAATAGACTCCTTGTGTGGACTGAACAAGACGTGGTGTCTTCCAGCTCTATTGCTCATTTCTCTAGCTTTCAGAGCTGCTACTTATAAGTGTCTCTTGTCATAAAAGTGATCATAACAAAAGAATCAGCCTTCTGTGGGGTCTATGCCTTCACAGGTTATATGGGTGCACATGGGATTCTAGAGGCATATAACTACTGTCATGTAAAGCTGCATAATCTAATAAAGAACCCCTATCCCAAGAAAGGTCTGTCTCTTTCCTGAGAATTTTGTACAAGAAAACTGGGGGAGCTGGGTTGACCCTTCTGGTATCCAAAGCTGCATGATGTAAATCGTAGGAGCCATGAGCAGGGATATTGTCTGCCGTATGGAGAAAGCCATACTGATGCATGAGTGATCAAGCTACCCTACTGGGACAGGCATGACAGACAGAGCAATTCCCTGTAATATCTGTGTCTCTGTAAAGGTTCAGCCATAGCTTTTCCCACAGCCTTTTACCTGTCCTCTTGTTTAATAAATTCTCTTTTTCACTTAAAGTAGTTCAGGTTTGATTCCTGGCATTTGGGACCAAAACAATTCCAATGAAGGCAACATTGAAGAAAGATTTGAGGAATGACACTCAGAAAAATGTTTGATTATAAGTTTTTCTAAGTTAAAACTCCAGCAACCAATGTCAAGTAAATCTGATCTTTCCAGACAATAAAAATAGAACCTTAAGTGTAGAAACAGAATCCCAATGTCTGTGATTCACTAGGATCCAGCCTTCCCGAGGACAGAGATTGAGATCCTTTGCCACTATACTCCAGTGGCTAGAATTCTGCATCCAGTAGGAACTTAATAAATATTTGTTGAATGAGTTAA